CAACTTTATGTAGTATGACAAGATGCTTTTCAAAGTGATTAAGCCAAATAAATGACTTCACCACCAGTTCATGAGTGTTTTCAAATGCTCCACATTTAGGAGTACACTTGGTATTTAATATCCATTTAATTTTGCCAGTCTTGTAAGTTAAAATTTTAGCTCATGGTGCAGTATCATTTTAGCTTGCATTTTTCTGGTTGCTAATGAGGTTGAACATATTTCTTGACTAGGAATTGGGGCATCATTCATCTATTTATTTATGAATTATGTATGAACGTATTTCTTATAGGACACTCAGGTTTTCTGTAAACTGCCCTTTACCACTTTTAAAAAATTGATTAGCTATTATTCATTTGTGGCAATTCTTTATATATTCTGGATATCAAACCTCGCCATCTGTATGTGTATATTTCCAACTCGTGACTTGTGATTTTACTCTCTTTATGGCAACTTTCACTGACTTTCTTAATTTAGTAGAATGCATTATTCTTTTATTTGGGGCATACATTTTCTATTCTTTTTTTTTCCATTTTCTATTCTTTAAAGAAGAGTCTTCCATAGGAAATTATCCTTTGAAAACATATGCCTATATTGCTTACCAAGACCCTTAGCATTTTGAATTTCATATTTAGGCATTTAATACATTTGTGACTTATTTTGACTTATACTGTGAGAAAGACAGAATAACTTAGTGTATGTTACATCCTCCCTCCCTATATCTGCAATGACAGCTCTGTTATGCATTACATTTCTACATATGCAAGGACCTACTTTCATCTTACTATTATTATCCATTTATTTATTTATGCTTCTTTCATTATGCTAAGTTTTAAAGTAATTTGATATTTGATAAGGCAACTCACCTCATTTTGTACTTCTTCAACATCATTTTGCCTATGCTTGTCCCTTTTTCCACTTCATTCTTGATTATTTTGTCAAATTTCATGAAAAAATATCTTTTACACTTTAATTGGTGTTTCCCTGAATGTATAGATAATATTGCAGAAATTAAAGCTCTTTAACTGTTGGTTCACTTATTCATGATCATGATGTATCTTCACTTATTTCAAACTTTTAAAATGCATTCTTCTAAAATTTTAATAATTTTCTGAGTTATGGTCTTGTTTATCTTCTAATAGATTTGTTCTTAGGTGTTCTATATTTTATGTTACTATTTGTAAATGGTATGTCTCGATTTTTTTTTTTTTTTTTTGAGTTGGAGTCTCACTCTGTCGCCCAGACTGGAGTGCAGTGGCCGCTCCCGGCCACCGCAGCCTCGACCTGCTGGGCTCCGGAGATCCTTCCGCCTCAGCCTTCCGAATAGCCGGAATTACAGGCATGCGCTACCACGCCGGCTGAATTTTTGATTTATTGTAGAGATGAGGTCTCGCTGCCCAGGTGGGGCTCGAACCCGTAGGCTCAGGCAATCCACTTACCTCAGCCTCCCAAAGGCGCGGGATTACAGGCTGAGCCACCGAGCCCGGCATGTCTCGTTTTTTAAGAAGTATACATTTTGCCTACTTGTCGCTAGTATGTGGAAATAAAACTGAATTTTATATGCATGCTGAACTCAGTAAACTTACTAAATTTTGTTATTAATAATGGAATACTTCTTTAGAGCCTTTTGAATAAACTTGTCGTTTGCCAATGATTCCTTCTTTTTCTTTTTCTTCTCACATTTTTTCTTTGTTCCGCCAGTTGCAAATTCGGTGCATTCTTGAATAGAAATCACGGTGTCATTCATTTATTTTTATTTATCAGTGATGTATGACTCTGACAACTACAGTTGCCGGATACACGGCAAACGCTATGGGGATTACGAAATGTAGGATTAGATGCTGCTGCTTTAAACACCAGTAGACCTCCCAGGATATCTGCAAATTATTCTTCCTACCAGTACCTAAATATCTCACCTGAAGTATCTGAGGCATCTACTAACTTCTCTTTCCAGACGAAGAGTTGTCTGCTTTTTATGCGCTGCAGATATTTTATAGAAAGAGCCATATTACCCCTTAGTGGTCAAAGGGGCACATGCATCCGATGCGCGCTGATTCTCGCAGCCTTTGCGTGGGAGCGGGGTTTCAGCTCCCTGCTGTGAGCAGCAGCGAAGCATCTCCAGTTCCAGAGCGGAGAGCAGAACTAGGAAACCAGCCCACTCAGAGTGGCAGCTGCACACGCCGCGGAAATGCCCCTGGTAATACGTCACGCAATTACGCAGTCATTTATCTAATGGTAATGATGGCTTGTCGGTATAATTTGCCTTCTCCACCTTTGCTAGCCTCCATTCATGACACGCGTGCTCCTTAAATCTCTATTTTAAATTCTCTGCTCCTTCTTCACTGTATATTCATCATCAAAGGATCCTGGGCTCTTTCAGTCTTCCAGTTATGCTTAAGTTTAAGGGAGGGGAGAAAGTGACGGCATGAGACAGGAATGCGATCACTTTCGCCCTGCGTTTCATACCAGAGCCTTAAATGCTCTGATCTTTTTCACACCATTGGTAAAGGAGGCAGTGGAATATTTCAAAGGTATTTTACTAGCTTTGTTCTCCAGCCTGAAAACATGGACAGAGTAAGAAGCCACAAGTCTGAGGTGACTGAACCCAGGTAGGGTACTGAATTACTAGCGATACAGTGGAGGTGACTATCATGACACAACATGGCAGCATGTTCATTGCCGAATTGGTCCCCATCTTATTGCGGTCAGTTCCACTCTGGTCAGGGGCAAGTTCTCATCTCCAGGCCTTTATGTTCATACTTGGTGGCTAAGCCTCTGCTCTCTGTTGCAAAGGGATTTACAAGCCAGGTGCATTAGTTGGTAGATTGTCTTCTGAGGATTATTTGACGATAGATTCATATATGAGATCAGTAGAAGTTGAGCTTTTGCTATTTTACTCCCTGGTTCTCACTACACAGTGCTTTTTATCCTCCAAGATCTCTAATCTCTTCATTTATTTATCTTCTCTCCTTTTTAGTCTAATATGCATATGGTTTGATTAATCTTAACTTGTGGTCCATATCACACAGACATTGTTTGTGAATGAATGATGTTTAAATAGTTGGAGCCAGGTATGGTGGTGCACACCTGTAGTCCCAGTCACTCAGAAGGCTGAGGCAGGAGGATCACTTGAGCCCAAGAGTTCGAGGTTACAGTGAGCCACGATCATACCACTACACATGAGTCTGACAGACAGAGTAAGACCCTGTCTCTGAAAAATAAATAAAAAATAAAAATATAGTTGGTACTTGTGTAACATCTCTCACCCCAAAATATGCAACATAGACCTTGACAATAGATAGTGCGACAATTTATAGTTATGTGGTTCTTTTTAAAATTGCACCTCCTGCCATTTCCCAGTTTTATATAAATCCTGAATTTTGGTCATTATCATTCCCTGCTAGTAGCACGTTGGTACTGTTTGACAACTAGCTCTCTGGAGGAAAAGAAAACAAATGCTGATTTGTTGTGTTTGCTGATTTCCATGCTGAAAATACTACTACTATGGCTGATTTCAAACTATCCAAATGATGTCACTGCATTTGTACTTGGGAATGATATATTGGCTCTCATGTACCTGTAAAAGCCATCCCCCAGCAACAACTGTCCCTTACTTTCTTTTTAATATAATTTTATCTAATACATTTGTAGTCCCAAAAATTATTTTCTTGATTTAATTGTTTTTAGCTTTATAAAAAGCATATCAGGCTTAATTTGTGCATTTAATACAACATTGCTAAGAGTCACCTGTAGAAGCGTTCATCATGGTAGTTCAATCATTTGACTGATGTGTTTGGCTTTCTTTCCATCATATGCATATAGCACAGCTTACTCATTCACTCCTGTCAATGCATGTGTGGCATGGATCCATGTTTTTCTGTAAATTGTGCTGCTGAGAACACTATTGTATTATGTCTTCTGACACACATATGCATGAGCTTCTCCTGATGTAAAACTAGGACTGGAATTGCTGGATCATTTAATATAGAAATGTTCAACTATATGAGATAATGGAGAACTGTTTCCAAATGGTTTGGATTACTCATGCTCCCACCAGTAATTTATAAGTCATGCTGTGGGCCCATACATTTTATATTTCTAAACTTCTATATTTTGATAATGAAATGGGTATAAAATTGTATATCATTGTGTCTTGCTTCATTATCCTGGTTACCAGTGGGGTGAAATATCTCTATATGTTTACTGGTCACATATGTTTCTTTTATGAATGTCTGTTTCTTACTTTCTATTGGTTCTTACACATTTGGAGTCAATGCAATTTTTTGGTTTCTCCTAGGAAAGGACTTGTCTGAAGAGCCTACCCTCACTCTTTCACCTATTGTCTTCTAGCTTCTGATGGAGCTTTGTAGTCCTGTGGACAAGCCATGTTGTCTGTGGGTCTTCCTCATAGGCTGCCTCTGCCTTCTCTTCTCCCTGATACCTTTCCCAAGAGCCCACCAGCTCCTCCTCTGGTGATGCTTTTGGTACACTATGCACCTGGGCATGGTGGTGCTCTCCTTCCTTTGCTCCCAACTGTACCCTGTTCATTCATCAACCAAAACACTATGGTGCACATCACTGAATTCCTTCATGAGTAACCTCCTTGCTTGACTGCCTCATGCTTCTCTTTATCTTGAGGGCCTAGCATGGTGACAACAGTGCTGAGTAGTCATGGTCAGCCAAACAGCAAAATTTATCATAGAAAGCATGTAGTGCTTTCTATGATCAACTGCCAATTGACTTATAGAAGTGCCTTCATATCCACCTACAGGATTACATGCAGATTTATCCATGAACATATGACCAACATGTGGCAGAGTCAGGGCAGAAATCTAGGTTTTAACATTTTCAGGGAATTTTCCATGTGATTTGGCCTCCTTATAGGCCCAACTCTATTCCTATTTTGTGGGTCTCAAATACAACACCTCCTCCACACTCCACACTCAGATCCTCTCTTTTTCTCCCTCCCTCCCTCTACACACACACATGCCCAGATGTCTCAATCAGGAAAGTTGTGGTTTTTCACTCCCCACCCTTCCTTCCAGAGGGCTCTGTGCATCTGATAGGGTGGGAGAGGCTGGGTGCCACAAAGGTTCTTGCTGAGGTCTCTGGTCTCCTCCCAGCGCTGTGTCCCTAGCCCCACAAATGTAGAAGCTGCTGTCTTCAGGGTGTGCACTTGTCACCGTCAGACTTGAAAAGGTTAGGTTTGGGTGGTTGATGGGAAACTTGGCCTTGGTAAAACCTTGTTCGTATGTGACGCCAGAGCCTTCATTAGAAGTCGCCATCAGCATGAAGCTCTGTTTCGGAAACTGACGATACCAAACCATAGTTGTGGCCTGGAAGTTCACAGAACGGCACTCGATCTCCACAGAGGATCCACTCTTACAGATGACCCTGCTTGGATGTTGAGAGACGAGAGCCCGAAGCCTGCTGAGACAGAGGTCAGAGAGATGAAAGGGGCTGCAAGTCCTGAGTCAGGCAGGACATCAGCCACACACCTCAGCCTCGCTCCTTCTTTTTTCTCCCAGCTTCTGGATAATCCTATTTGTTTTGTGCAACCATCCTGTTGTCTCCCAAGGGTGGTTGTCTCCCCTGACTGGTGGCTCTCACCTTACCCTTTAGACTTCCAGGGAGCGTGACTGCTCCCTCACTCTAACCAGCTTAAACAACCCACAATGCCTGGCCACCACTTCATTTTGCCCGCGTGCGCACACACACACACACATATGCCCAAGCTCTCGGGTAAAATAAGGCTCATACTGGGCCCCAGAAGCAGCAGGAGCAACAGCATCTTCAGTGTTGGCTTCCTGCCACCTTCTCTGAAGAGAAGTGTGACTGCACTCTCCATTTATCCCAACAGGGAGGATGGATGACTGATAACATAGTCTGAAGATGCTCTAATCTGTCCCCTGGTGGTGATCTTTGCCAGTGATCCTGATTTACAAGATAAAAAGAACCATATAGGCCAGGCACCCTGGCTCACACCTGTAATCCCAGCACTTTGGGAGGTGAAGACAAGTGCCTTGCCTAACTCTGGTTTGAAACTAGCCTAATCAACATGACGATACCTCATCTCTACAATAAACCTGTGGTTCCAGCTACTTGGATGACTGTATTAGAAGGATCACCTGAGCCCAGTAGGTCGAGGCTGTGGTATCCGTGAGCATGCCACTGTATGCCAGCCTGGGTGACGGAGTGAGACTCTGACTCAGAAAACAAACAAACAAACAAAACCGTACACTGCTTAAAGAGGCTTTTGGGGCTTCCCAATTCAACTTCCGGTTTTATAGAAGACACAGTCAGATGTAGATCATTTAAATGAGCACATTATTTAAAGAGGCCTTAAGACATTCCAGTTCAACTTCCAACTTTATAGAAGATACAGACAGAAGTAGAGCATTGAAATGACTAACTTTCTTATAAGGAAAGGAGAGTATGTTTGGGTAGTAAATGACATCATAGTCAGTTCCTTGTTTCTACGCAAAACGCTCAAAGTAATCACACCAAGACAACTCATAGTTTTTCATCACTAGATCTTCAGGCTGAGACTGCCATGGGTCCATAACACCTAATGCCTCAACTGGATGCTCAATGTTTCTTCATAATTATGATGAAAACTCTTCATCTTCGAAATGAGGTATTTACCTCATGACTATCTCATGACAACTTCCCTCATATGTTGATGGACTTAATTCTGAAAATGTTTAGTTATGTATCCTGTGTGTCTTTGTATAAATCATTGTAGAGGTTATGAGAATGATTATTTACAGTTATTTTACTGTAATGGAGGTCACAGTAATGGAAGTGGGTTCTAGGAGGTTTAAGGAATTATTTCTGCTTTGAACATGCTGGGACACATTTTAATGGATCAATTTTGGAAGTTTATAGCAATTGCAAAGAGATGAAGAGTTTTTTTTTTTACAAATCATTATACTCTCATTTTCGTAACAGCCTCTTGCTTTTTTTCAATATTTATTTCTATTTATCTGGCACGAGTAGCTAAAAAAAGTGAGATTAAGAATTGACCCACCAAGCCGGGCTCTGTGGCTCAGCCTGTAATTCCGTGACTTGGGAGGCTGAGGTGAGTGGATTGCCTAAGCCCGTGGGTTTGAGACCTGCCTGGGCAACTTAGCAAGACCCCATCGCTACAATAAATAAATAAATAAATAAAAAATTAGCCGGGCATGGTAGCGCGCGCCTGTAGTTCCAGCTACTTGGAAGGCTGAGGTGGAAGGATCACCAGAGCCCAGCAGGTCGAGGCTGCAGTGACTGGGAGCTGCCACTGCACTCCAGTCTGGGCGACAGAGTGAGACTCCAACTCAAAAAGAAAAAAAAAGAATTGACCCATCAAATTATGTTTGTACTATAATGAGAATTTTATCATAACAAATATCACCATTATATTGCATAAATATTAGTGTATCTTTTGCAAGGCATTTGCATGCTCCTCTGGCTACATTTTTTTTCCCCAGTTGTTCTGGGTGAACCTCCTTAGATTTGGGTCACCTCACACTATAACTGTACTTTTTCTGAAGGAGTAGGTAAGAACAACATGCTATAGATCAGTGATTCCCAACCTTTATGGCATCTGGGACCGGTTTTGTGAAAGATAATTTTTCTATGGACCAGGGAGGGGAAGAGAATGGTTTCATTATTATTCAAACACATAACATTTATTGTACACTTTATTTCTATCATTATTACATTGTAATATATAATGAACCAATTATACAACTCACCATTAAAAAGAGGTGCAGATGGAAGTGGTAAATAAAATAATGGTTGGGCCATGCACAGACTAAAATAAGTGTCAGATTCTGACTTACAGTCTGCCCCCAAATGCAGCTGTACCATCGAAGTACACCAACTCACTTGCCACTCACTGACAGGGTTTTGAGACGAGTCTGTGAGCAATCGATTTATTATGGTCTCTGTGCAGTCAAACCTCACTGCTAATGTTCATCTGTATTTGTAGCCACTCCCCAGTGCTAGCATCACCACCTCAGCTCCACCTCAGATCATCAGGTATTAGATTCTCAGAAGGAGCCCGCAACCTAGATACCTCGCATGTGCAGTTCACAATAGGGTTCGCATTCCTATGAGAATCTAATGATCTGATAGGAGGGGGAGCTCAGGCAGTAATGTGACCTGACAGGAGGTGGATCTCAGCAGGTCATGGCTGCGGTGTCCTTGGGTGTGCCACTGCACTCCAGACTGGTTGACAGAGTGAGGCTTTAGCTCGGCATTATGTTTATTATATTCATCTGTGTTGTTGCCAACTATATATATTTTGCTATATTGCATTCTGCCACATTAATAGCCCACTCTATTTATCTTTTGCATTGTTGATGACCCACTGGATGTTTTCCAGTTTTTCCATCATGAATAAAACTGTTGTGATAGTACCCTTTTCTCACATGTCATATATCTCTTTCTGTTTCTTAAGAATTCTGGACTATTTCTTGAATTTTTATACAGTTTACAGATTAGTTTTCTGATTTGTCTAATTTGCTGTTGGTTATGGTCAATGGGTGTCGGTGACCTGCACTGACCAGGGGGGGGTTAGGACCGCACCGGTGAATCAGAACGGAGAGAAGAAACCACACGGAGGCAGCTCTTCTGGGAACAGTCTGGCCAAGACTGAAGCC